ACCTCCCCCCGATATGTCTCTCTTTTAGTTTGGACTTCAGGAGGAAGCAACTCAGCCTTGTTGTATTTCTTGCTCTTCTATGGAAGTAATTTTGTTCTTTACTTTACGTGCATGCGGCTTTTGTGCTTGAGACCACTGGTAGTAATTCCAATGTAGCTGTTTTCATGGAATTGGCAAAAAAGGACCAGTCGATTTTTTTCCAGTATAAACCTGGAAAATAATTTCGTATCGTACCTTGCAGTTTCATTCAGTTCGTAGCTGCCGAGATCTTTATGTGACATATGAAAGTCGATTTTGACGCTATTAACGCACTTGATGTTTTTGCGATCTGATTTTATGGAATCATGCTATGTCAACCGTCTGGCTTGTGCTGGGGTTGCTCCCTTCACGTCACTCTCTCCAACTCTTCTTTCTTTTTCCCCGCACATGTACACTGCACCTGCACATCTAGTTATATTATATGCATCTTCAACTACCAGATTAAAGTCCCAACTAGACTATTGCTGGCCATGGTTGACCCCTTCTCACTTGTGCTTCATCGATTAAGCACCGATACATGCATGCAGATGCAGCTATGAACGTTACGGGCCCCTCGGGTCATCCAACAGTACTGTTTCCGTGAAAACCAATTGGAGTCATCGTTTTCAATGTCAATTTTCACACCGAATTCTTTGACAAATTCGAAACATGCCAGGCAAGCTACTGGGTTTTATTTGGTGGGTGTCACGGGCACAATATGTAGATTTGCGCCAAATAATAATTCGTTTTACCAATTTATATGCCAACGACACTTGAAGAAATTAAGAGAGGGTGAACAATAAAAGTGACTGGTTGGTTAATTGAGAGAGAGAGAGAGAGAGAGAGAGAGAGAGAGAGGGGTTTTGTTTTTTGATAAAATGATAGGATAAAATTTTATAAATGTTGGCATGGAAAACATTAGAATGGGCATCCATTCCATGGACTAGGGACAGAGCTAGGATTTTTGCGTAGGGGGGTGAGCTATATTTTTGGAGCGGGGACCAGACTATATATTTTGATAATATATTTTTTTCTCAACGTAATAGTAGTATTGTTTAGAATTTGGGTGGGGGGGGGGGGGGGGGGGGGGGGGGGGGGGGGGTGGTTCGCCTTTCCCCCCTAGCTCCATTCTAGCATGGAGGGGGATATAGAAGACACAAAGAGGACTAAACTCACAAGTTTTACAACCAACACATCTCATAGTTTGAAGAGCAAAACTATGAACTGCACAAAAGCCAATCTTCTTCACAAAATCTAGCATGACCATGTCAAACCCTCCAATAGAACGGAGGAATAGAGACCCATATGAAAAATGGTAGAAGAGATCCCTGTGGAAAAACGACAGCGAACACCCGCAAAGGGTAAGAGAGTCCACACAAATGGAAAAAACGAAAAGCAAAATAGGTTCAGCCATGGTGAATCGTTTCATTTTAAACAGGTGGCAGTGGCATTCACACACAGTAAAGGTTTTTTTGTAGGTGGAGTAGTTTTTGGTTTGGACGTATCAGCCAATTTCTTTTAAAGTCATGAATGTTGAAGTATTTTGTTTATTCTAAGAATCAATCGTAAAAATCAGAGAAATTCAGGTTATTTTACATTTTAGTTTGATGAACAATTTTCTAACTAAATTTATCCACAGAATAAAAAAAATTGATTACGAAAAGTTTCATGTAGTAAAACATGAGAATGGGAAAAAGAAAAAAAAATCTATTTGTGAAGTCTGTTTTTTGAATATTTAACAAGTAATTATTCTCAAGTTAGCTATGTTGATAGAGAAGGTGCGCGGAGAGGTATCAAAGTCATTACCACATCTGTCGTTAACGGTGTTAGCGTGACATTTTAATCCAAAATAACAAAGAGGTCAATTGGTCATTTCGAAAAGCCAAAAAGGTGATATGCGAAAGGCCTAAATCATAGGGAGGTCATTCGTACTTTACTCATTTACCCATGTTTTTAATTTTTGGTTGACATTTTATTTTGGGAAAAATTCAAAATACCCCCCAACCTTTACACCCAAATTCAATTAGACTCCCAACCTTTTAAAAACTTCAATTTTACTCCCAACGTTATATTTCGTTAATCAAAATGGCCCCTTCCGTCCGAATTACTAACAGATTCAGTTAAAGGCTCCGTTAAATAATTTTCCGATGGAATTTCGATGATCCAAGCCATTCAATGTGTTCAAAAAGTGATTTTAAGGGTACTTGCGAGAAATCAACAAAAAAAATCACCGGAAATGGCTTCATCTGAACAGTTTTCTATTGAATAGTTCAATAAAAAAACTGTTCAGATAAAGCCCTTCCCGGTCTTTTTTTTTACCGATTTTTAGTGGGTACCCTTCAAATCACATTCTAATCACATTGAGCTCGAATCATCGAAATTCGATCGGAAAATGGGAGGTGCAGACCAAAGCAAAATCCGGACATCCGGACTTGAACAAAATTCGAATCAATTCGCACCTCCCCTTTCCCAATTGAATTTCAATGATCCGAGCCGCTCAATGTGATTTAGACGTGATTTTAAGGGTACCCGCGATAAATCAACCAAAAAAAAATGATCAGGAAGGGCTTCATCTGGATAGTTTTTTATTGAACTATTCAATAGAAAACTGTTCAGATGAAGCCCTTTTCGGTCATTTTTTTTGTTGATTTCTCATGAGTACCCTTAAAATCACGTTTTGAATACATTGAACGGCTTGGATCATCGAAATTCCATCGGGAAATTATTTAACGGAGCCTTTAACTGAATCAGTTAGTAATTCGGACGGAAGGGGCCATTTTGATTAACGAAATATAACGTTGGGAGTAAAATTGAAGTTTTTAAAAAGTTGAGAGTCTAATTGAATTTGGGTGTAAAGGTTGGGGAGTATTTTGAATTTTTTCCTTTTATTTTTTATTTTTTTGATTTCTCTTGTCGAGAAAATGATTAATTTCAAAAATTATGAGAAAAAATTAAATAAAAAATTAAAAAAAAAGTAAAAAGAATTCGAAAAAAGTTGCCCAACAAATTTTTTTTTTGACCAACAAATTTAGGCAAGCGAAGTGTGGAATTCTATAATCGAGAATGAAATCATTTTTCTCATAATTAAAAAGATTTGGTTGTCATTTTGTGCACATGCATACATGTGGCAAGTGTCTACTAGTAGATGAATTTGACAAAGACAAAATAATCACCGAATGAAAAGCCAGGACTTCTGGGCTTAGACAAATGGGAGAAGTTTTTGGTTGGCGAGCGGGTACCACACACATGGAACCGACGACAATTCAGTCATTCAAACGTGTTTTGGATGGGTTGAATTTTTAAGAGAGAAAAAGAGAAGAGAGAATGGTCGGTTAAGGGAAAGAGAGAGACTAAATCTGAACCGTTCAAAATATATTTAAATAATTAGGATCGCCGAAGAGTACTGTCAAGTGGTACTCGCTTGGCACCCAAAAAAAAATCTCGACAAACGTGATTATGATAGTAGAAGTGGTGACGTGGAAGGCCATGAATAGTCCACGAGTTGGAGTACAAAATGAAGTAAAGACGTGGCGAATATGTTTTTGTCGAATAAAGTAAAATATCCTCTTCAAGATATGAACATATCCATATCCATTTTCTAAAGAGTTCTTCTCCATACAGAAACTACAAATGGGAATAAAAAAACAGAAAACTACAAATGGTAATAAAAAAGCAGGCCTACCGCTGCCAAAAAGGTAAATTTTTTTTTATACTTAAAAGTGATTATTTTTTAAATTATTTGAATAAAAATTAAAAAAATTTAATTTTTTTTCTTGTCGAAACGAATTAATAACCCCTAAAATTTTTGCGTAAAATTAATAAACATAAAAAAAAAAACAAAAACAAAACTATCATAATAGTCTCCTCCGGTGTCGGCCATCCTCTCTCACTCTCACTCTCACTCTCTCTCTCTCTCTCTCTCTCACCTGGTGTCGGCCATCCTTCCTCTCTCTCTCTCTCTCTCTCTCACCTGGTGTCGGCCATCCTTCCTCTCTCTCTCTCTCTCTCTCCCCAAACAGCATTGATAGTTTGGTGGTACATACATAATCACACTCTAAAGGCCTATATAAACCTCTGTGTGTGTGTGATTGATTTTGGGATACTGCTTGGAGATAGTAGTAAAAATAAGGGATGGTGAGTGACAATTACTTGAAAATGAAGACGGGTAAAACAGCTTCCACTAATCTGATCGCTGCTGATTTCCAAGATCTCGGTCACTCCCTTAAGAGGCTCGGAAACCATGTCATCAAGCTCACCCTAGGCTCCGGTTTAGGCTCTACTCTGCTTCAATGGATCGCTTCAGTCGCTGCAATGTAAAAATCTCTCTCTCTCTCTCTCTCTCTCTCTCTCTCTGTTGGTTGTCTTTTACGGCAACTTCAACTTTTTAAAGGGACGTGCCATTAATGCATATTTTCTTAGAATGTTTGATTTGATTTTCAATACAGTATGACCCCTTATTGTTCAAAACCTACTTTTAATCCTTTTTATGAGGGTTTTTCTTTTTCGACGAATCCTTCATGAGGGTTGAATTGTGTGAATTTACACACTATTTAGAATTGTCAAATAGGAAAAGTATTTTCTGACATCCCAAAATACGGAGTAGAATACTAGACAAGGGAGGGAGTACGTTTCAGATTTGATTTATCCCGGTTAAACTTTCGATAAGTCGATTCTCTTCGCTGTGCGTGATGTCTATGACTCTATTGTGTGTTATGGTGAATTTGATTTTGTTCTTGTCCTGTTTATTTGATGGTAATCTTCAAATGGATCGTGTGTAGTTTTCCGGAGCACTTATTTTAGAGTAGTCATCTCTGAATTATGTTGTTTAATGTTTATACTTTTACACCCGATTTTGATTTGATTCTCTTGTATGAAATACAATCAATTGGAATCCGATTGTAATGCAACGGAAAAAATAATCAATAGAAAAAGGTGGACAGAAAAACTTATTAGATACCATTGACTCTGGTGTCTAATAAGTTTACCTACTATTGGATTTGAACCTATGACTCCCACCATATGAAAGCAATACTCGAACCACCGAGTTAAGTAGGCCATTTTTCATCCCAAAGAGAACCAAACCAAACGGGACGTATCATATGCAGTTTGTTACTACTCCTTCCGTCCCAATTTGCGACTTTTTCAAGAGTTCGTGCCACTTTTAAATTGTTTGTATCTTTTAATTTATACGGTTTCATATTATTTTAAAACTTTGTTTAGTAGAATTTCTATCCTCTTAGAATGGGACAGGGGACACAAAAAAAATTGGGTCAAAGGAGTATTATTATTCTAGTGATTTTTTCCGCATTATAGTTCTACAACCTTCGAGGATGTAAATTGTGGAGTTAATCTCATGATACATATACGCTTTGTTGAAGACATTGTTGCCACTGACGAGTTGGCGGTTGATTGGCATGGATTGTTGGAACAATCAGAGAGTATATGTAACGGATTACCTCAAAACTGCATATGTTGCTGTTCAGGAATGAGTCGCGGACTAGGTCACTATCTTTAAGACATTTCGCAGCTCCGCCCTCTCTTGTGCAAGCAATGTATAGGCATACGTTTAGCGTGTCTTTCCATTCAAGAAAAGATTTGATGGACTGCAACAAAAAAACATTTCTGATTCTTTGAATTTTAGCTAAACTTATGAGCGCACGAGGCCCATATTATCCAGATTGGTTTTCCCAAATTGCCTTGCGCCTTAGGCCCATTTTCCTGAGCGCACAAGTCCTCTCCTTGGGTGTAGGCACATTCACATGCCTACGAAAGTATTAATGGGTCTGAAGTTCTATAATCTAAGCAATGTGGGACAAAGGTTATAGGGAAGATTTGGGAAAAACTTCAAATACCATGTTTTAAAGTACTCATCCCCTACATGGATGGACTGAACTACATTGCGACTGTTTTAAGTTTTGCATTCCCCTTGAACTTCTCTGAAATCTTACGAGTTGTCATCATATTCCTCTTTACTTTCGTTTTCGTTAATACTTCACCATGGATATCTTGTGCCTCAAAAGATTTCGTAATAAGGCATTGATCTGTGTTTACAAGCTTACGTATATTCAGCGATCATATATTGGTAGACAACTCGTACAGGTGCATTGTCGTATGGCTGCTACATCTCTTAGTCCTTGGGTTATCCATTGAGTCTGCTATGAATTTTTGTGCGCAACCCAGTGTTTCTTCATACAAGCCTGTTATTATATGCTAAATTTGCAATGTGTGTTCGCATTTGAAGTCTTGCTGATAAATCTGTTAATGTATCCTCAACTAATCTGCTTTGACAACATGCTATTTACCTGCTTTACATAATGGCACCAAATAAACTATCCTTGTGTCCGTGTTATGATCTCTGAGATTGTTTCTCTTGTCCATCCTTAACAATCTATGACATGCGGTGCATCCTATCTGTTTTGTTTGGAGAAAGAATTTCATAGCTAACAATCTTATCTGTTATCTTTCCCGTCATTACTGCAGTTATTTGCTGGTCTTGGATCGGACAAACTGGAGGACCAACATCCTTACAGGTCTTTTAATCCCTTACATTTTCTTCAGTCTTCCGTCCCTAGTGTTCAACTTCCTCAGGTGATACAGCTTTCTCTGCTTCTCTCATTGTCCTTGGCTTTACTCGTTTCTCCACTTTTAATGTCTCTGGTAATGCAGGGGAGAAGTCGGTGAATGGGTTACTTTCATTGGCGTGGTAGTGCGTCTCTTCTTCGCCAAACATTATCCTGGTATGATATTACTTCCATTATCGCATTGATTTATCAGGCCTTCACATTCATGTGGTTGTAAATAATCCAATAGGAAACTAGAAAAAATAGAAATAGCAGAGTTGTCAGGAACCATTGCTAAGGTTTGGATCTAACGAGTATCTAGGACAACACAAACTAACAAGACCCTTTTTCGCTAGGCGTTTGAATATTTTCAAAACCATCATTTGCACTGTCCTGTAGTCCTGTAAAAGTGATCGTGTCTTAGAACGTAGCAAACATAAAAATACTGACATTTCATGGATGTCACTAAAGGTACGCCCAGTTTCTACTTGCTAATGGGTGTCTCAAAGAAGTAAATTGGGTATAAACATTATATTTTCCATTAAACGCACAAAGCGGGCCTTCATACTCTAGGTGTCACCCTATTTCACGGAGCTTACTAAGTAATGTAGTATGGGATGTTAAGAAAGTTTCCCTTTTTCGGCTCTGCCATAAGAACGAAATTGAACGACATAGTTGCTTGTGTGTGCGAGTGTCTGTGTTCATGCTTATGATAAAATGCAGATTGGCTAGAAATGCCGGGGGCATTGCTTCTTCTCATTGTGGTGGCGCCAAGCTTGATTGCTGATACTTTGAGGGACAGCTGGATTGGAGCTGTGATATGTCTTGCCATCGCGTGTTACTTGCTTCAAGAGCACATCCGAGCAGCCGGTGGGTTCAGAAATGCCTTCACCAAGAGTAACGGCATTTCCAACACCGTCGGGATAGTCATTTTGTTGGTCTACCCCGTTTGGGCTATTGTGTTTGACATCATATAGGCACTCTATCTCTTCAGCTTTGTTGCTTGTCTTTTGGTCGGCGTTTCTCGGACTCCAGATTTGTTTTTGTGATCTTCTTTTGCAACTCTCCCAATTTGTTTGCAATGTTGTTCCTCAACTCCGTTACTGAGAGTTTCTTGATGTATAATTGGTTGATTTGTTGTAAAAAACCTGCCAGGATGTAATGCTTGTTATGGTTACCAGTTATATGGATTCAGTTACGCTAGTGTGAAAAATACCTATGGTTGCCGGAGTCTTTTTTGTTTTTTCCTTTTATTACCGGGCCAATTTGTGCGCATCTCATACCAATTATGAGGTTTGAAGTTGACGATCTGGCAAACCTTCGATGAAGTTGTTGGAGTTGTTGATGTGGATTAGTGAAATCTTATGGGACCATCTTTTTTGCATAAAAGCCTTGTACATTATCCATAGTACAAAAGATTTTATACACGACAGTTTTGGCACAAACAAAAATAATTTTGGCATTAGCAATATCTTTTAACAAACGTACATATTATATGCACCTTTTATACAGAAAAATGTAAGAAAATAACACTAAAAGACTGACAATTTCAAAAAACGATATCCTGTATCTCAATGGCACTGGTATGTAAGTGAACTAATACAAAAATCGGATTAAAAAAAAACTAATACAAAAATCGTTTTTCTGATTGGTATGGTATTCATAATCTGACATACACACATCGTGTTCCATGACTTCGAGCCTTAAGTATTACAAGAAAAGGAGAGCTGCAAATGAACCAAGTTGCTCGCGATCAGCTTGTGCCTCCGCTCGCTACGGCTCGACTCAATTCGTTCAGGAACCGAGCCGAACTCGACACTCAAAAGCTTGGCTCACAAAAGCTCGGCTCATTTTGTAGGTTTGACTCGTTTAAAGAGACTTGTTAAGGGGTTTACGGCTTGTTTACTTCGAACACGGTTAAACTCGGCTTGGCTCGATTGCAGAGAGTAGAGACAATGCCGTCTTTTGGGCCGATCATGGGCCTAAAGTCGGTCCAAACCCCAAACACAGATTATAAATTCGTATAATACTATCGGAAGGGTTAGGGTTTTAGCTGCTGCTCTGATCGATTTTCTTTTGAATCTCTTTTCGTTCGTCAAAGAAGCAAGCAAGCAAGAGAAAGGATGTTTCCGGGAATGTTTGCTCGCAAACCGGACAAGGAGACCGCTCTGAAGCAGCTCCGTACCCACGTAGCCCTGTTCGGGGCATGGGTCGCCGTGGTTCGGGTCACCCCGTTCATTCTCTACTACTTCTCCGACCACAAGGAAGAACTCAAGCTCGACTTCTGAATATCACTCGGGTAAGCTCTTGTTGTCTCAACTTTGATTTCAATACATTCATACGATTTGTGTATCGATGCTGGGTTTTATGTCTATGCGATTCGTGGGTTTGAGTTGTTTCACAATTTGAATGACCAGACCGGATTGTACTGGATGATGGGGTGATATGTGGGTGTTGCAATTGGCTGCAAAATTTTATCAATTGAATTCCTTTTTAACTTTGGCATTTGCGATCCGTATAGGTAAGGTCTCTGTGATGGTTGGGATGAGTTTTTCTGTAATTGGTTATATCCAGATTATGTGGCCTTTATGCCGTATCCTCTGTTAGGTTTTCCTGGAAAAGTGGATATATACTGCATGATTTAAGGATTGAAGCTGACTATTTGTTATTTGGTGATCCTTATATGAGGTTTGTGTGCTTCGTTTATCTTGAGTATATAAATGATGGTGTTAAATGGGTAATTTCAAAAAATTTGTTGATTCAATGCGGATTTTCGATTGTGTGATCATATATGTCATTTATATTCTTGGAAAGTCACATCGGTCTTTAGTTTAAAAAAACTGGAAAACTGTGGGTAGTCGGAAGAGCATTGCCACGTGACACTTACTGGTGGACCCAATACTCCATGGGTAAGGGAAGCGAGCTCCTTTGGAATCAAGACTTCCCATGCAAGCATAAGACTTCATGGACCTCTGTAGAGGAACTCCATAGAATCTTCAAACATAGCACGACGAGGCTTGATGACAGCTCAAGGCATCTCCTATTCTCCCCACATTAAATGAGGCTCTAATAAGCCTAGCAACTCCTCACAATAGTACAATACCCTAGGTCAGGAGTAGGGCCTGGGTATCTCGCTCGAGATCCAAGGCTTGGGGGCTAGAGCGATTTCTCCAGGAAAGAGGAATACCTCATTCCTTATCCCTATGGACGCCATTATGATGAACGCAGTAACTCCAAATTTTGTATACATTAGAGCAGTGTTTTAAAAAGCGTGCTATGGCGCGAGGCGCAGCGCAAGAATTGCGCTTCAAAACTGTGGGCTATAGCGTGGAACCCAAAGGCACTGATGTGCGTGCTTTTTGTTTTGAAGTAAAAATCGATCTCACACCGATACAAGTTCGCGATGCTCTGAATAATTTCTTCCTTTAAAATGATCTCAACCCTATTCGATCTACAAACGCAGATCGAGCAGCCTCTTCTTCTTCAGACGATTCA